CAGAATTGTAGGGACCCATCTGTTGTTAATATTTTGCAAACCAAGGAAAGCTGGGAAACATATGAGTGACATCAAAACTGATGAAAATATCTGAAAGTTGAATAGAGAAGGTTTCAGATATCTCTACAAATGTTTCTCCATTGTCAATTCTGGCTATTGAATTAGCAGTTAAGGAGTTAAGAATTTTTACAAGGAATCAAGCCGGGTTATGTCAAAGTGATTCTATTGTACTGATAGTGGGTGCAAGAGGCACATCACATTTATGTGTCTAAGGTAAACCATATAGTTGAGATGAGTTGCTTCCATTGTTTATTACAGTTTGATAATTTTCAGGTTTCAATTACATGATAATTTTGTTAATTGCTCATTAGTGGGATCTGCACAGCTTGGAGCTTTACTCCACAACTGTGCTTTTATATATATACCTAACAATGACCTGAAGAAGGCCTCAATAAAAGCTTATATGTCATTCTCTTTTCATTCAGCATGCAATTGCAGTGCATTAAAGTTCTCAAATGTACTATGTCTATTTATTCTGCCTAAAGTTCAACTTAAACAATCAATACAATTTTATCATCCTATCTATTAAGTATGAACCTTTTTTTTTTATTATTTTAAAGATGTACACTTTAAACACCTTTTTTAGGCTCTTAACTCAAGCATTTTAATGGATAATCCAAGTTCCGAGGAAGAGACAAACCTTCCAAAGTATTTATGGGTCATAAAAGTATTCTTGAAGTTTTTTGTGTATTTTTAACAATTAATGGATATGATGTGATTTTGCTATTAGATATATATATTTTCCTAATAACATTTGAGGTAATTTAGAAAATTCTGAACATTATAATTTTCCTATGCTGAAAACGTATTTCTGATAGGTACATACCTTCTTTCACAGATATAGCTATTCTCATTCAGTGCTGCCCTCTATACGCAAAAATGTTTTTGCATGCCACAAGCCTTGAGCTCCCACATACCCTACGATTAATGTGATTCAATTGCATCTTACATGTAAATCATCATGAAACAACCCTTCACCAATAGGAATGTGACACACTTCCTGACTCCCTCTATTCAATTCTACTGAAATATCATTTTGAGTTTTGGCAGGGAGGGAAGTGTGAGAGAAGGTGAGTACCAATCAAAAATACATTTTCAGGATAGGAAAATTATAAGTTTCGATATGGTACATTATCTCCATTCACAGATATCTAGAATCCCACACTGAATAGTTGGATGGACCAGTGCAAAGGAATGAAAGAAGCATCCTTCAAAAGCATCTGAAGAACACCCAAAAAGGGAAGATCCTTGCAGTAGAGGATCCTATGTAGGAGAACACACTACTTCTGTAATAGGTATACTCTACACCCAGTGTGGAAAGTGGTGTTGCAAAAATGGGCAGAAAATGTGGAGGAGCACATCCAAATGGGAGAGAACAATGTTTGGATAGGGATCCAAACCACCTGATATTAAAAACAGTAATGTGGGTGAGAGAAAAAAAAGGATGTTCCCCTAGGTGTAGAGTGGCTAGGGCACAACAGACCATACACAGCAAGTGAAATGCACCCAAACCACAGCTACCAGGAACTGACATCCATGTGGGAGTAGGATGAGGATCATACTATTGGTAAGTCAACTATAATTCAAGACTCAGCCACAGGGAACCAACAACATTGTGGGGGTAGGAAAGAGGATCATACCAACAGCCAGTCAACTACAGTCTAAAACCCAGTCATCAGGAACTGACATCCATGTGTGGGTAGGAAAGAGGATCATACAATCTTCACCTCAAGTTCAGCAGACTGGAAAGAGATATCATACCCACCAGCCTGTGAACAGGGCAAATGATAGCAAAGTGAAAAAATGTTTTACCAATCCATGAACCTAACATCTGGATGATCAGAATAAGAAAGATGTCCCTATATTGTGAAATATCCCACTCACAACCAATCAGACAGGAACCATCCCCAGCACAGTAATATCCTCAGTATATGAAAATATTCGAGGGATAGAGCAAGAGGAAGAACTGCAGTAACATACATGTTTATCCACTGTGTCCTACAACATGGTAGCAGTGAATATAAGTCTAACTGAATGAGGGAACAGAGACACCTGTAATACAGCATCTCTCTCTCCAGAAGGTCTCCCAACTATAGAGAAACTATGAGTGTAAAAAAAGGGCTGAAAAAGGCAAACATGCCAACATGGATGTAATCAGGGAGAGGGTATTCCTAAAAAAACTCTCATGATCTTAATGGAGCACCTCAGAGTCGATAGGGTAAGATGATGGTGGGAAAACTGGGCATGAGATAAACAAATAGGGTGATCAGGGTCCACCCCCACGTGGGCAAATGTGATTACAACTGTTCAGAATCAAGAAATGTAAATTCAACCTGATGGCAAGCTAAAGCAAACTGATCTGAATGTTTTGCATGAACCCTAATATCTGTGGAGGGGTGGAGACACAAAATACTGAGAGGAGGGTATCGTGTAACATGGACGGAAGAGGATTATAAGAAATTGGGGAAATTAATAAAACAGAACACACATGAGAAATAATGTATTAGACCTAAGTGATTCCACAGTAGATGCATAGGAAAACACAGCAAAATCAGGTGGAAGAAAAAGGCTTTCAACTTCTTCGTCATCCTGAACAGGTTTTGCATGTTCAGGAGGAAAATGGGCAACATCAGGAGAAGAAAGTTGACTCATACAGTACTGTGCAAAAATATTAGAACAAAGTCAAAAGTGAGATTTTAGGCTACTTTTGAAGAAAAATAGAAGGTAAATCACAGGTGAAACATCAAAATTTTATTAATCTTCATATTTGGTACAACAGAAACTCAGTGGAAATGCTTGAGTTTAGCAAACAGTTAATATTTTGTATGTCCCCCTTTTGCTTTTATAACTGCAGATGGTCTTTCAAGAATTGTTGCAACATATTTAATCACAGTGTCCTTTGGAATTTTACCTCAAATGTCTGTAATACACTCCCATATAGTTTTTTGGAAGTAACTTTTGATTTGTCAAGTTTTTGATCTATCAATTCCCAGATCTGCTCAACTTGGTTGAGATCAGGGCTCTGTGGGGGCCATTGCTTCATTTGAATGACTCCAGCAGCTTCTTTTTTAGCTAAGTAATTTCTGCATAGGTTGGATGAGTGTTTGGGGTCATTATCTTCTTGATAGTATAATCCTTTACCAATAATATGCAAACCACTGAGTATACCATGATGGATCAGTATCTGAAGGTACTTGTGCCAGTAAATTATTCCATCTATATTGCAAATATCTCCTGTCGCCTCAGCAGAAAAAACACATCCAAACCATCACACTGCCTCCCACATGCTTCATGGTAGGTGCTATGCATTGAGGTAAGTATCTTTCACCTTTCTTCCAGCCAACGTACAACTTACACTTTGAACAAAATATTTGAAACTTGGACTCATCGATCCATAACATCCTTTTCCAATCATCAACAGTTCCGTTTTTGTACATTTTAGCA